CCCTGCTGTGGTGGGGAATAAGGGCACACCTAGAAGTCCCAGGGCCCTACCCACCATCTAAGGCACTGACGTGCCTCCACAGAGGAATGAAAGCTGGTTACAGGTCCCAGAAACAACACTGCAGCTTACTACTCCCAGCAAGCACGACCTACTGTCAGGGAGGTCAATTTGCATGCCCTTTTACTGCATTTACTGACTCATCATACAGGGTGTGCTTGAATCTCACCCACATGCACCACCTACTAGCTCAGAGACTAAACTGGGCATGTCATTATCTAAACAAAAATCCAAAGGTAAGTGGCAACAGCTGCTCCAGATGGGAAGAAATCAGTGAAAGAACTCTGGAAGTATGAAGAATCAAACAGAAAGCACACCCCCAAAGGGCAACACCAGCTCTCTAGCAATGGATACCACCAAATTCAGAACGCTAAAATGACAGAAGAATTTAGAACATGGATTGTAAGAAAACTCAAAGATATGCAAGAGAAAATGGATACCATACACAAAGAAACCATAAAAAAATCCAAGAGTTGGAAGAAAACTTCAGTAAATAAATTGAAATATTAAAGATAACTGAAACAGATCTTCTGGAAATGAAGAATTTATTCAAAGAATTACAAAACACAGTGGAAAGCCTCAAGAATAGGGTAGATCAAACAGAAGAAAGGATCTTGGGGATTGAAGATAAAACGTTTCACTTAAATAAGTCAGCTGCAGAGATACAGCAGAGAAATAACAGAAAAGAGCAAAGCATACAAGAAATGTGGGCTTATGTGAAGAGGCCTAACATGATAATTATAAACATCCATGAGGGTGAAGAAGAAAATATACAAGAGTTGGATAAGCTATTTGAGGATATGATGAAGGAAAATTTCCCTGGCCTTGTTAGAAATCTAGATTACCAGGTACAAGAAGCTCAAAGAACTCCTGAGAGATTAACTGCAAACAGGAAGACACCATGACACACAGTCATCAGACTGGCCAAAATAAACATAGAAAGAGGCCCTCCTACGAGCTGTAAGGCAAAAGAAGCGGGTAACCTACAAAGGAAAACCCATCACACTAACTGCAGACTTCTCAACTGAGAACTTACAAGCCAGAAAAGATTAGGGCCCCATTCTCACTCTTCTCAAACAGAATAATGCCCAGCCTAGAATCTTGCACCCCGTAAAACTAAGTTTCTTATACAAAGGAAAAATAAAGACCTTCTCAGACAAGCAAAGACTGAGAGAATTCATTATGACCTGCCCTGCCTTCCAGGAAATACTCAAAACAGTGTTACACATGGATCAGCATAATAAACACTTACCAGTAGAAAATCATCCAAAAGCTAAAGGTCAAGGGCCAGGTACCACAATGGCTCAAGACAGAAAACAAAGCAACAAAGTTCAACTCAACAGGAAAAACAGAAATCTTCCCCCTTTATCAATTCTTTTGATAAATATAAATAGCTTGAACTGCTCATTAAAGAGACATAGGCTAGCCAAATGGATAAATATATACAAGCCAAGTATCTGCTGTCTTCAGGAAACACATCTAACCCATAAGGATGCATTCAGACTCAAGGTGAAGGGATGGAAAACAACATTCTACTCAAACAGAAGCCAAAAGAAAGCTAGTGTAGCAGTTCTGATTTCAGATAACTTAGTCTTCAAATCAACAAAACTAATGAAAGACAGAGATGATCACAATATAATGGGGAAGGGTAAAATTCAACTAGAAGATATAACAATTCTAAATATTTATGCACCTAACTCAGGTGCACCAAGATTCATAAAGCAAATCCTACTTGACCAAAACAAAATGATAAATAGCAACACTATAATAACGGGGGACTTCAATACCCCTCTGACAGAACAGGACAGACCTTCCAAACAGAAAATAAACAAATAAATAATGGAATTAAACAGAACTCTAGAACAAATGAGCCTGACATTTATACAATATTCTACCCCCAAATCACTGAATATACATTTTTCTCTTCAGCTCATGGGTCATTCTCTAAGATTGAACATATCCTAGGCTACAAAACATATCTGAACAAATTTTAAACAATAGAAATTATACCATGCATCTTCTCAGACCACAGTGGAATAACATTAGAAATCAATTCCAACAGAAACTCTCATCTCTATACAAAGACATGGAAATGACTCTAATAAGCTCCATCAGGAATGAAAAAGGAGAAATTACAACTGATACCATGGAAATATAAAATATTATCTATGAATACTATAAAAACCTCTATGCACATAAACTTGAAAATGTGGAGGAAATGGACAAATCCTTAGAAACATACAGTCTCCCTAAGCTCAATCTAGAAGAACATAATTCCTGAACAGACCAATATGAAGTACCAAAATTGAAGTGGTAATAAAAAAAACTTCCTAAAAAGAAAAGTCCCAGACGAGATGGTTTCATACCCAAATTTTACCAGACCTACAAAGATGAATTGGTGCCTATCCTGCAGAAATTTTTCCACAACATTGAGAAGGAAGGAATCCTCCCCAAAATGTTTTATGAGGCCAACATCACCCTGATACCAAAACCAGGAAAGAATACAAGAAAAAAAGAAAACTACAGACCAACATCCCTTATGAATATAGATGCAAAAATTCTCAAAAGAATCCTAGCAAACCAAATTCAGGTGTTTATCAAAAAAATAATCCATCACAACCAAGTGGGCTTCATCCCAAAGATACAGGGATGGTTCAACATATTCAAATCTATAAATGTAATTTACCACGTAAATTGAAGTAAAAACAAAGATCAGATGATCTTCTCAATAGATGCAGAAAAAGCATTCAACAAAATTCAGCATCATTTTATGATAAGAATGCTTAACAAAATAGGCACAGATGGAACTTACCTAAAAATGATACAAGCCATATATGACAAACTCACAGCCACCATCATACTGAAGAGGGAAAATTTGAATGCTTTCCCACTTAGACCTGGAACCAGACAAGGTTGCCCTCTATCACTGCTTCTATTCAACATAGTGTTGGAAGTTCTAACCAGAATAATCAGATGAGAGAGGAAATCAAGAGCATCCATATGGGAGCAGAAGAGGTCAAACTATTGCTTTTTGCTGACAACATGATTTTATATTTAGACAACCCCAAAGATTCTGCCATGCAACTACTAGAATTGAGAAACAAATTTAGCAAAGTCTCGGATTACAAAATCATTGTACAGAAATCAGTAGCATTCCTATATGCCAACAACAGTCAATCTGAGAACCAAATAAAAGACTCAATACCCTTCATAACAGCAACAAGGAAAATAAAATACCTAGGAATATATTTACGTAAGGAGGTACAATACCTCTACAGGGAGAACTACAAAACACTGAGGAAGGAAATAGCAGAGGATGTAAACAGGTGGAAAACCATACCATGCTCATGGACAGGCAGAATCAACATTGTTAAAATGTTTGTACTACCCAAAGTGATCTACAGATTCAATGCAATCCCTTTTAAAATACCAACATCATTTTTTTGCAGATCTAGAAAAAAATAATTCTATACTTCGTATGGAACCAGAGAAGACCCCATATAACAAAAGCAATCTTAAGCAAAAAGAACAAATTGGGAGGCATCAGTTTACCAGATTTCAAGCTATACCACAAGGCTATATAGTAACTGAAACAGCATATTACTGGCACATGAACAGAGACATAAACCAATGGAACAGAACTGAGAACCCAGATATAAAACCATCCTCATATAGCCATCTAATCTTTGACAAAGTAGACAAAAACATACACTGGGGAAAAGAATCCCTATTCAATAAATGGTGCTGGGAAAATTCACATGCAGAAGACTGAAACAGGATCTGCACCTTTCATTTCTCACAAAAATCAACTCACTTAACAAATAACAGACTTAAACCTAAGGCATGAAACTATAAGAATTCTAGAAGAAAATGTTGGAAAAACTCTTATAGACATTGGCCTAGGCAAAGAATTTATGAAGAAGACCCCAAAAGCAACCACAGCAACAACAAAAATAAATAAATGGGACCTGATCAAATTAAAAACCTTCTGCACAGCCAAGGAAACTATCACGAGAGCAGACAACCTACAGAATGGAAGAAAATATTTGCATGCTATAATCTGATAAAGGGCTGATAACTAGAATCTATATAGAACTCAGGAAAATCAGGAAGAAAAATATCAAACAACTCCATTAAAAAGTAGGCAAAGGGCACGAACAGAAACTTTTCAAAAGAAGATAGACTAATGGCTAACAAACATATGAAAAAATGCTCAACATCTCTAATCATCAGGGAAACGCAAATCAAAACCACAATGAGATATCACTTAACTCCAGTGAGAATGGCCTTTATCAAAAAGTCCCAAAACAAAAAATGTTGGCATGGATGTGGAGAGATAGGAACACTACTACATTGCTGGTGGGACTGCAAACTAGTAAAACCTCTGTGGAAAGTAATATGGGGATATCTCAAAGAGCTACAAGTAGAACTACCATTTAAGCCAACAATCCCCATTACTGTGCATCTACTCAAAGGAAAAAAAGACATTCTCTAAAAAAGACATCTGCATTTGAATATTTATAGCAGCACAATTCACAACTGCAAAGACGTGGAAACAATCCAAGTGCCATCAATATATGAGTGGATTAATAAAATTTGGTGTATATATATATATACCATGGAGTTCTACTGAGCCACAAAACACAACAGTGATCTATCTAGCACCTACTGTATTATATTGGATAGAGCTGGAGCCCATTCTACTAAGTGAAGTATCACAAGCATGGAAAAACAAGCACCACATGTACTCACCATCAAATTGGTATTAACTGGTCAACACTTATGTGCACATACAGTAGTAACATTCACTGGGTGTAGGGCAGGTGGGAGTGGGGAGGAGGGGATGGGTATATTCACACCTAATGGGTACAGTGCACACTGTTTGGGGGATGGACATGCTTGAAGCTCTGACCCGGGTGGGGCAAAGGCAATATATATAACCTAAACATTTGTACCCACGTAGTATGACGAAATGAAAAAAAAAAACGATCGGAAGAAACATGATTGGAAATTAAAAAACTCAAGTTCTAAAGTCAAATACACATTTTGGAAAGAAACGAACAAATAGCCAAGGCTGTGTGCCTTGGGCCTAACGGTCATCCAGGCTGAGGCTCCTGGGGCGGACGAGCTGGTCCTGAAACCCTTGGTCAAACTTAGCAGCAAAGAGTGAGGAGATAAGATCATCCCCAATGCTCAGAGCCAGGTCGTATGCCGTCTGGCCTGTTGCATTCTTCTTTTGGATGCTTGCATTGCATCTGTGGAGGAAATGGGAAAATGGAGGTGCAATGAAGGACTCAGCACACAAGCCTGGGGACCCGACTGTCCCCTGCCACAAAGCCCAGTCTCGGCACCTCCGGATCCCACCTCCCAAACCCGTCTCCAAGAGGCTATCAAGACTTCAGCTCTCAGGGGCAACTATACCTTGAGAACTTTTAAGTGGCTCTGTGATTTAAAAATATTAAATTGCCAACCCTGGCCATTGGTTCCCATTGAATCAAAGGCCTACAACCAAGGATGTTTAACAGGGGCAACATTTTCATTGTGCTTTGAAAAGCCCTTAGTGCCCTGGGGCCATGGTGAGATGGGTGCCCCCAGTCAGAGGTACAGTGGTTCAGGAAATAGGGACCTTCTAAAATCACCACACATCAGTAGGGAGATTGCTGTGGCCCTAAGAAGTGCCCACCAGAGGCCAGGGAACATACCCCAGTAGAGTGGTGATGCTCTCCCTTCCCGCCAGGCCAAGTAAAGTTGCTTCATGAAGAGCTGTATTTCTGAGCCTATTTAAGGAAAAAAAAAATCGTGGATGAATCTTTAGCTAACATCCTCAGAAAACTTCAGAGGGTGCATGTGACCCAAGGGGCCTTGGTTTTATTCAATGACCTATTTAACTAACCTGAGAAAATCTCAGGTCTCCTCTCTATGCCTTTCCCTTGGAGAAATACTGTGATGGAGGGTAAACTTTGACATTAGATAGAAAGTAAAAAGTCTATAAACACATTCATTTTTCAATATGAGGAACCTATAAGGATCTGGTTTGTAATGATTTAATCAATGCTAATAAATGCTATTTTACTAAATTTCCTGCAAGAGTTTATAGAACATATTGGACATACTCTCAGCATTGGCTTGGGCCTCTTGGGCATTGCCTATATGATAAAAAGTTTTTAGGGCTGAGGATCCTGTTTTTGTTTGGGGAAGATGACCTTGGCTCTAGTGAGTTTGGTTCTCATGATATGAAAATAAACACCAGTCTTAGAATGCAAAGGGCAGGCCTGAGATGTCAGGAAGATCGCCTGTACCTGGCTCTCAGCCACTCTGATTATTTGTTCATCTATTCAGCACATGTGAATGCCAGCCTGGTGCCCCCATTTGTGCCAGTGTCAGAGACAACAGGTCACATGTGACACAGTGCTTCTCCCTCTCAGGGGACTCAGAGGACTCAGTTGTCAATGTGGGATGGAGGGGTGCACAGCACACCGTGGAAGCACTGATATAGGATGTCCCAATCAAGACAGTGACACCAATCTCCTTCTCATCTTTCATCCTTCCTTCCTCCCTAGTGGCATATTGCTTAACTGTCTGTCACTTCACCCCTCAAGTTCCTTGTGTCTTTTAAGGCATTTGCCATTTGAACTTGGATACATTCATAGGGTTGCCATGTCTCCTAAGTGGACATATGATCTTCTTCCTTCACAATTCTCCTTAAACCGAGAGCAGAGTATTCACTCAATTTCCTGAATGGTGGTTTGCTGATGGCTAGATTTTCTGTGCTGGCTGTTTTCTGTGTAACCACAGTTCAGTTTTGGAATACGCAGAACTGCAACCCTGCCAACTCTAATTTTGTACGTTGCCTCTCAAACAACTTAATTCCTACAGGGCAAGGTCACTAGATGGAAAATACCTTCTTGTTAAGAACCCCATGTTTCAGAGAAGTGATACTCCAGTATTATCTCATCAGACCTTCTAGAGCACGGTTTGTACAGTGGGTATACTATGGTGTTCCTGAATTTGTATTTTAAAGAAACTTTACTATTGTTGTGAGCTAGGCTGATGCCACGGCACTCACTCTAGCCTGGGCAACAAAGCGAGATTCTGTCTCAAAAAAAAAAAAAAAGGAAGAAAAGAAAGAAACTTTACTATTAATACACAAACAACTCAAACTGTTGATTCAGATCTGGATTAAGGTACATTCTCTCCTTGAAAATCCTGAATTACCTAATAGAATAAACCTCTACTGCTGAACCTCTAAGAAGTAGACTGAGGGTGGCATCTTCCTCACCTGGCTACTGGGGCAGAGGGCAGCTATTGTCCAAAAACAAACAGAACTTCTCTATCTCCTACTGAGATCTTAAGTCTGTGTTTCTAAAGTCTGCTGGTAAGAGGCATCAGCTTCAGTAGATGATGTGGATTTCTCCTTAGCCATTCTTTTTCTCGATTATGAGCTCACTCTGGTGGGAAGGATGTACACCTGGGGCTTTCTACCACCTGCCAAGCTGCTTCATGGAAGTTATCTTGTGTAGACCACATAGGCTCCACTAGTCCAGGCATCCTCAAACTACGGCCCGCAGGCCACATGTGGGTGTTTTTGCCCATTTGTTTTTTTACTTCAAAATAAGATATGTGCAGTGTGCAAACGAATTTGTTCATAATTTTTTTTAAACTATAGTCCGGCCCTCCAACGGTCTGAGGGACAGTGAACTGGCCCCCTGTTTAAAAAGTTTGAGGACCCCTGCACTAGCCAAACACGCTTGGATGGGAGACAGGACCCCTGCACTAGCCAAACACGCTTGGATGGGAGACAGCATTTTAATCTTTGTTTGCTGAGGAACAACTTGTTGAACCTCTTTCACAGTAAAGCCAGATCTCTGGATGGCATACACCTAAGGGCATTGGGATGGATGGAACCTTGAAGTCACGTTCCTGGATCTACAGAGGTGCAGCTGTGGGGCAGAGGCCAACTGATCCAGGCCTAAACTCTTCAGACTAACGATATGAACCAGACTTAGCAGAATTTGGCTCTCTGGGCGAAAAGCTACTTTCCTCTCCTAATGATCACTGAAAAGAAGGGAGAGATCCCTGTGCTCCATTTGGGAGAGAGTCACTAATCTGGCTCTCCACCACCACCACCACCACCACCACCACATGAGCTAAGTAAGTAGTGCTCACCGTAACCATAATAATGCAGTGGGAGAAACGAAGGGCTATTATACCCCAATCAGATAGATAGGTATAACCAGAGTCAGACTTTACAGACATGCAATGGGATCACATGCAGATACAGGTCAATCTGTAAAATGGTGATGAAGCAAACACAGAAAGTGAGGAACATCAAAATAAAACAAATAATCTGTTCAATGCTCAGAATAATTTCGTCCTCTTAGCTGCACTTTTCAGAAAGCCAGGATTCATCATACTTCACATATCAATTCATATCAATAGCATGCTCTAGTGATTTTTATATCAACCATAAAACATTATACTTAAATGGTATATGAAAAGCTTTTCTGATTATAAAAATATACCTTAACACAAGACAACATAGCATTATATTTATCAACAATGATGAAAATACAACAGTGTGGGACAAATGAAGAAGCTGACACAGTATGATAAATGTAAACCTTAAGAAAACTTGAGAAAGTATATTCTAGCCATCAAAGCTTTACACCAACATACCAAACATTCTGCTATAAAATAAAACTAAAAAAGAGATAATGTCTATTGATATAACTTTCCTGTTGCATAGAAACTTATAAAAATGCAAATACAAAAAATTAACAAGGATATATTTTGAATAACAACACTGGAGAAAATTTTGAACCCGAGACTAATAGAAGCAAAGCAATTGAAATTTTGGCCTCTGCAGTGGCTTGACATACACAGCAGCATGTTTCACTGATCTGGGCCTTGACCTTGTCTAAGAATTCAGGAGGCCACAGGTGTGAAGATACCTGTGATATCCCTAGAAGACTTCCTTCAACAACCCGGTCAGCAGGATACAAGTGTTGACATGAATGATCCATACTCAAGGAACTTTCCACCCAGGTTTTCAAAGTAATTTGCAAGAGAACCATAGAATCTTAAGGCTAGGAGAGAAGGTTGTGGGGCAGGACTGGACTAAGACAAGGACAGGAAGTAGTATGACTTGGTACTTCTCCGTCCTGTTTCACAGGTGGGAAAACAAGGCACCAGGAGATCAAGTGGTGAAGTCAGACATACCAGCCTTCCCCCTGGTGGTGGTGGTATCTGGAGATAACCATGTAATGTTTTCTTGCTGCATTAACTTCACGGGTATATTTCTACAGGGAATTCACTGAGATCTCTCTTCTCTTAGTGCTGATCATGATTAAAACATTGCTAAACACCCCAAGGGCTGAGGATTTGCTGGCCCCAGCCATTATAAATTTGTGAGTTCACAAAATGTATCATTATTTACAAAAGCTACTAAATTAGGCAACCTAATAGTCCATTTTTTAAATTTTGTTTTACCCAGTGTTGGAAAGCAGAAGTCGTTAGGCCTTTTATTAAGTAAGGCTGAAACAGGTTTAAGCGGCTCAGCTTCTAAGTGGTTTAAACCAAATAAGGCCGTGTGTATCGGCTGACTCTGCAGCAGGGCCTGCCTCAGCTCCCCTTCCAGGCCTCTCACTTACGGTCCCCATGGCTGGTCAATGTCTGCTCCTCTCTGCACAAGAACTGGAATCACTTCATGGTGCCTATTCACAACAGCCACAGTTATCACGGGTCGATCTTCCTTATCACAGCAGTTGGGGTCTGCTCCCTGCAGCATATAGAAAAGGACAAACTTGCCACAAAACCTTGCACTCCACAGCATCCGATAGCCATCCTACTGAGTGTAACAAGAGTCCTATTAAAGAGCTGATGGGCTGGGTGCAGTGGCTCACAACTGTAATCCTAGCACTCTGGGAGGCCGAGGTGGGCGGATTTCTGGAGGTCAGGAGTTCAAAACCAGCCTGAGCAAGAGCGAGACCCGTCTCTACATAAATAGAAAGAAATTAATTGGCCAACTAATATATAGAGAAAAAATGAGCCGGCATGGTGGCACATGCCTGTAGTCCAGCTACTCGGGAGGCTGAGGCAGAGGATTGCTTGACCCAGGAGTTTGAGGTTGGCTGTGAGCTAGGCTGACGCCACAGCACTCACTCTAGCTTGGGCAACAAAGCGAGATCTTGTCTCAAAAAAAAATTAAAAGAGCTGATGGAACTAAACTGCTCTTAGATCAAAGACGAGGAGAATTAGGAGCCTCAAAATCCAACCTAGAATGGGCAGAGCTTCGAATCACCCCACAGTGTGGAAGGCACACACCCTGACGACCTTGCTTCTTAGGAAACTCAGGCTGAAGGTCACATGGGGTCACAGATTCTGTCCTGCTTCATGTATGTTTCTTGGGTTCGTGTGTGCTTGTCTGCCTACTTTCTTTGCTATAAAATTAACAGGTAAGAATTAACATAAAGCTTTTCACTAGCCATTTACTCCATTCCCAAACAGTTTTTCATTAAAGTGTAGTAGAATTTCCATAGTGTTGAACAAAACTTCCATCCTAAAGAGCTGGAGGTGGAATGCCAGGCTGAAGTCTTCAGCGACTTGTTCTTTTGCTCACACTTACTTCATCCAGCAGCTGTTCAATCACAGAGATTCTCCCTTCCCCTGTTGGTCCGACTTCCTTCAGCAGGAGTCTGTTTTCAGGCTGTGGGATTACAGAATGTGGTCATTCCCAGTGTCTCAAAATAGTTTTACTATCAAGTTCCAGGCTCAACACTCAAGGCAAACACTTCCTCTCCAAGGTTGAATTCTGAGTCCTGGGGACCGGTGAGTGGAGTGTGTGCATGTGAGTGTGTGCATGTGTGTATGTGGTCTTCAAGAGCCTACAGCACAAACATCCACATCTAATGTCAATCCTGCTGGTCCCCAAAACCTTGCTTTGGGCAAGGTCCCCACACAGACATTGTTTTACATTACGACAGAGATGCAAAAAAAAAAACCTCACAAAACCCCAGAAACTCTACACTAGCTTTATTGTGACTGTTTCTAGAAAGAGCAATGAGGTGAATCCTAAAATTTACTCTGCATGCTTTATAAAGCCTTCAAGGTCAGCCTAAGCATGACAGCTCAGAAAGTGTGCTCACCTAAGGAATAAGCCAATTAAGTTGACCTCTTGTTTAGGAAAAGAAAAAAAAGCTCTTGTTTATCATCAGAAATTGGAAGAATTTATCTTTTTATATTTCTTAAATGCCATGAAATTCATCTTAATATAACTGTTCTTTATTTATAAAGGATTTAAAATGCTGGAAGGCTGAAGGAAGCCATCTAGGCAGGAGAGGTACTTTCAGGATGTTCTTGCTCCTGTGTCCCTGGCATGACTATGGTGGTCATGGGACCACCATTTCCATTTGTAAAGTGGAAATAACACCTACCCCTCCCTGGCTCCCTGAGAAGCCATGAGGATGAGGACACTGGTCAAGGCCCTTAAGCCTTTCAAAAGAAGATACCCGATCCAGTCTGTGCCTCCTCTTACCCCACTGCCCCCACCTTGCTGGTGCATAGCTTAGAACAATGTACTCTAATCTCTAAACCCCCAGGAGGGGTCTTAGGGAGCGCTTGTTCATACTGAATTCCATTCCTTATGGAAAAATGTATTACAGTGCACTAGAATATAAGCTTCATGAGATCTGAGACCTTTATGTCTGTTGTTCATATTTTATTTAAACAGTGGCTGGTATATTAATATGTGTGTTCAAAAATAATCACTGAATAAGCAAACAAATGTTATAGCTTCTGATACTTATTCCCTAAATGCAAATGAGAAAATAAAGACATATAACAACAGGAGATTCAGGTCACACACAGAGTAAGTGGGTAAAGTCTCCAAAATTGTGAATTGTTAAGTTTATGGAACTCTATACTTCTTTTGTACTCATTAACAATATTTCAAACTGGGAGAAGGTGGACAGTACAAGAAATCATAAGCAATAAAAGTTAAAACAATTTTAAGATCTTTTCCCCAAGTTTACTGGTGTTTCTTATATGCAAAGCATGCGGTAGGGAAAACAAGATAAAGAACAGAGTCCCTGCCTTCAGAGGAACCAGATGGGCAATGGTGCATGCACCGAGGAGGATGGATGCCTCCAGAACCTGGTGGTGGAGATCAAGGTGGAGGGAAGCACCTGACACTATGCCTGTGTCCAGCTCTGGCCTGTGGCCCAGGCCTTGAGGTTTGCTCCACAACACGTCTCTGTACTGCAGCCGAAGAGGACCAACTAAAGGCAAGGTGGGGGACGGAGCAAGGGCATCCTCTGACCCTTTCTCCAAAGCTCTCTTTGGAATTATTCATGGCATATATTTTGAAAAACAAAACTCTGGCTGGGCATGGTGGCTCACACCTATAATCTCAGCACTTTGGGAGGCCCAGGTGGGAAGACCACTTGAAACCAGAAGTTTGAGATCAGCCTGGGCAACACAGTGAGACCTCATCTCTACAAAAAAATAAAACACTTAGCTGGTGTGGTGTGGTGGTGCACACTGGTAGTCATCCCCAGCTACTGGGGATGCGGAAGTGGAAGGTTCACTTGCACCCAGGAATTTGAAGTTGCAGTGAGCTACGATCGAGTCACTACACTCTAGCCTAGGTAACAGAGTGAGACCCTGTCTCAAAACAAAAAAACCAAACTCTAAAAGCTGTGAAACTCTAAAAGGGTAATTTTGAGAAAGTCCAAGAAGATTGAAATTAAATGAAATCTGACTGACAGGGAAATCAAAGCAAAGAAACCCAGCTGAGACACCAGAGGTATGTTTTCTTTCCAGGGGAGCTCTGCAGATGCTCCAAGTAATCAATTAGGAGGTTAGGTGCTGGTTGTAGGCAGAAGCATGAATGGATTACTAAGGGCTCCACTGTGAATAGCTGAGACAGCTGCTGGTCTTCCCCATGTCTCCCAAGTAAGAAGGGCAGGAGGCTTGTGTTCTTGACTTAAACCCTGATAAATGTTTTCCAGAAAGTACATAATTCACCCAATGAAGGCTTCTACTGAGATCACTGGGGCCCAACAAGGGAGAAGGGCAGAGCCCAAACCTCCACAACACACAGAGGAGGGTGTGGTGTGCAGCGAAGGAAAGACCACTCCATCCAAAACTGAAACACAAGCAAGCACTTCACACCACCAATAGCAACACCACCAGGGGAAAGACCTTCTACACAGGCAACACTGAGAGCTGAAGGCTCTCCCCTGCACCCTGCCCACACTCCCTCCAGGGACATCTGTCCCATCACATGCCCATACACTCACATAGGGACTTCGGGCCCACATACCCATGTTGGGCAGCCATGCCAGACACCTGTCCTAATCCAACTAGGCCTTCATTTGTTGAATGACCCCACAACCAAGGATCATCGTGTACATGAGGCAAACCAAAACAAGAAAGAGAAATATAGGCAGATAGAACTGATACCAGAGGAAACAGAGATGATTCAGGAAACTGATGGGAACTTTAAAATAATTCTAATTCATAATCTTGAGATATTTTAAAGAATTTTGCCTCCATAAAGTAAAAATGAGCTATTTTATATAATATATATATATAAAAGGAACAGAAAATGGGAGATTATTCTTCCATTTAAAAAAAAGTCAAAATAAAACATGAAAATGATAGGCTGATGAAGACAACCACAAGGACCAAGGAGGATACTTACTATAAGCTGCTTCTTCTTTTCTGGAAAGTTTTTAGTCTTGTAATTCCTTGCCCTCATGACTTTGTCAGGGATTTCTGAGGCACCGTGCATGTAGTCATTTGCTGAAATGACAGAGTTGAGGACTGAGATGATGCCTTTCCTCCACTCCCCACATGTAAAGAGACACTTCTACTGCCATGCCCCCCTCTAGAGTCAGAGAATAAAATGGCTTTTCTAGAAACTCCTATTTGAGTAAACCTGGTAGAAGGGACTACTGGAGCCATCCCCCTGTACAGGAACCAGAGAATGGATGGGAAGGAGGGGACAAGAAAGGACTTCAGGTTTTAGGCCCAAAAGTGCACTGTCCCTAAAATGAATCTCTCTAAGCCCTGTACAGGACTTCAAAAGTCTCACCCCTGACTTCAGAGAAGCCAGAGAAATAAAATGGCTGGAATATAATGGTAACATGCATGATTGGGCTGGCAAATTTTTAGCAATTCTCTGCATCCTTGACAAGTCAATGTGTCCCTGGTAAACTGTTCTAATGTCACCTGGAAGGGAAAAACTCACCCCAGCTGGCCCTTCTGTCATATAGCCCATGACCATCGTCAATGGCACAGCTCAGGAAGTAGTCACTGAAATTCTCTGCCTTGTTCACATAAACGCTCTGGCCGGTGAAAAAATTCAAGCACCATAAATGATTAGGTTGCTTTGTCACAACAAAAAGAAGGATCTCCCTGCTAACCTGCTCCTCCTTACTAAAGATGGGTCTACCTACCCAGAGAGTCAAGCCTGACACCTGGACATCCTTCCTGACTCTTCCCTCACCTCACAGGAGCTTTACCTGTCTCTTAATCAGCAGCTCAGTCTGGCCCCTCTTGCCCCCCTCACTACTGCCATGGCCTCCTTTTTCTCACACTGGGACCATCTCAACAGCCTCCCAACAGATGTCTGCCAGCCTCCCTGCCATGGGGCTGCCCCAGTGACCTGTACACCGTTTAGAAGTAACTGTGTCATTCCCCTGCTTAACCCCCTTCAGTGTATTGGGATCAGATTGGCACGATGGGGAGGCCTCAGGCTGCAGAGTTTGAAATCCTGGGTCTTCCACTTACTAACTTTGTGACCTTGGGAGAAGCAAGTTGCTCAACTTCTCTGAGCCTCAGTTTCCTCACCTATAACATGGAAGGATTATGACCTCCCTCAAAAGGATATTGTACAAGTAATGAGGTAAAACAGGTGTCTATAAAATGAAGAAAGATACTCAGCAGACATAGAGTTCCATGTGTACCTGGCCCAATTCCACAGGAGGACAACCTGCCCCACCCTCCCACAGGGAACCACTTGCTGCTTCCTGAACACTAGAACATGCAGGCTAAGAAAAAAGAGTCCTCAAACCTGGGGCAATTACTCTACTTCTATTTGATTGACATCATGTTGTAGATGCTGCTGTCAGCCCACCCAGTTCCCACCAGCCAGCCAGGTCACTCATCCAGCTGCCGTGTGGTTGCTGACAGCTCACTGCTGGACCCTCCTCCCCAGTGAACTGCCCTCAGTAGATGGGCGCTGCCTTGACCTACAGGTTATGCCCCTGCCCTCCCGGTCTCAACTGGGGACAACTTTGTGGTGTGATTCATGCTCCAGAGCTCCCCCTGGATCAGGCTACAGCTAGATTTTTCTTTTGATCACCTGCTCATTCAGCTCCTTCCTCTGCCCTGATCCACTTCCCCCACTCCCCTTCTTCTGAAGTACCTCCAGATCCATGCTGTGCTCTAGCCACACAGCTGAAAACACAGCATTGAGTGTTTTCCCTGGTTTCAAAGCACTTTCATGTGCATTAGCCTGTTTGATACTCCCAGCCACCCCTTGAGTTAGGCAGGGCCCATGTTTCTATCCTGATTCTAACAACACCATTAGTATCTTGCTAGGCATATAGCCAGAGCCTAATAAATATTAGTTCCCCTCCTTTTCCCTGCCTTCCTTACCCATCTTCTTAATCCATTAAACATTCGTTTGTATATTCTGACTTCTTGACCAATGAAACTAAAGCCACTAAAATCAATCAATTAATGTTTGTTACACACTACAGGCTCTGTGACAATGTCCCAGTCACCATATAAGAGGGACGATTAGGGATAACATGCCACTAATTTGGTTTATTTTATAAAAGGAAATAGGTCAAAATGCATATCAGCAAACATTTTTGTCAGTCTTTCCTCAAATCAGTTGTATCACAGACATGTCATCAGACTTCAGTGAGCATGAATAAAGCCTGAGAACTACAGGATAATTCCTGTTCTAACTATATCTTTATGTGCCTGAAAGCTGGCTTCTCTGAGGTTTAGATTAATTATTTATCTAATTAGTCAACTTTCATGCTATCTGAAACTTTTCCTTAACTTGTAAGCCACAATTTACTATTTCATTCAATTCTCAAATGAATAACTTCTGAAGGCTTGCTTACCTTGTTTGAGACTTGATTATAATTCAGCCTGATGCTAACTTCATAACCATCTTCATGGACAGTAGCAGAGAGAAGCTTTTAAGAGATTTTTAGAGAGAATTAATAACTGTGGAGGTGGGACTCATTGCCTTGAACAATAGCCTAGAAATTCTGAGATGATAAACTCTGAATTTAATCAAGTATTTAATTAACACAAAAGGAGGTAGGAAAAGAGAAACAGAGAAACATAACTAGATGAGATAAATAGAAAACAAAGAACAAAGTGGCAAACCCAAATCCAGATACATCTTTATTTCCACTAATTATAAATAAACTAAATACTCTTATCAAAGGGCAGAAACTGCCGGATTGGATAAGAAAGCAAGATCCAAATTTATACCTCCTTCAAGAGACACACTTTAATCAAACCACATGACTAAATGTCCCTTTGGAAAAGGTATTCTGGTGGGGAGTAGGGGTAGGCCGTTGGCAATTAAGGGACAAGCATCAAAGTTGAGCAGCTTTCTCTGTAAGTAGTGACAGGAATTTAGATTCAACCAGGGAGTAGCAAATGTTTTCAGGAAGGGTCAGATAATAAATATTTTAGGTCTTGAAGGCCATATATTCTCTATCATGCAAATTGAACATTGCTGTTGTAGCACAAAACAGCCACAGATTACAAGTAAATAAATGGGTATAACTGTGATCCAATAAAACTTTATTTATAAAAATGAGCAGCAGGCCAGATTTGTCCCACAGGCCATAGTTTACAAACCTCCATATTAGGTCAAATCTACCAAAACAGATTATCAGAAGAAATTGAGAAATACTTGAGAATTAGACAGTTTCAATGTTTGCCTATTTGGTGGCAGAGGAGCAGAAAGTCTGTTTTAAAAGGTTCCTTCTAGTCTTACAACAGAGGAAAGGTGCTCTCACAGAGATGTCTCTTTCAAATGGTGATGTAGTGCCAAAGAAAGGGCCTAGGGCTTGGGGTCTGACAGACCTGTTTTATTCTGAATCCCCTGAGACCCAGCAGTATAACCTTGGGCAAGTCACCAAACTTCTTGGAGCCTCAATTTTCCTGGGTGTCAAATAAGGCTTGTTCTGATTATCTATTGCAGTATAAAAACCACCCCAAACTTAGTGGCACTGGCATTAAACAACCACCACTTTATTATGTTCACAGATTCAGAAAGGGCACAGCAGTAATAGCCTGTCTTTGTTCCACATGTCTGAGGCCTCAGCTGGGGAGATTCAATGGCTAGAGGTGGTTGGAGGTGGCTTGGACTTCTTGCAGGATAGTGGCTGGACTCTAAGGAGTGCTGGAGGTGAGTGAGCCAAGCAAGAGAAAGCCATGTGACCTTACTGGGCCATGCCTTGGAAGTCCCATAGCATCACTTCTACCATACTTTACTAGGTGAACAGTCACAAGCCCACCCAGATTCAAGGTGAGGGGACATAGATTCTACTGTTTGAGGGAAGACTTTCAAAGAATTTGTGGCCATTTTTTAATAAAACCACCACAAAGGTAATGATCCTAACTCATAGGTTTGTTACGAGGGCTAGAATGATGTACATGATGCTGAAACTCAATGTACTGTTAAATGGTCACTCTTATGATTACTATTGCTATATTTTATTTTTTAATTTTTATTTATCTTTTCTTGCTATATTTTAACACTGTATGATTTAAGTGCACAATCTGGCTAGACTAAACTATTCCAGGTTTTTAGCTCTGACCCTCAGATTTTCCACAACATGTGGCATCTAAGCATGAGATATTCAGAACCTTACTGTCTGAGGTCAGGTGCCCCAGAAGCAGACCCTGAGACAACACTCATGTGCAAGTGGTTTATGAGGCCAGAGCTCCCATGAGAGAAGAGTAAGCAAGTGTGGGAAGCAGAGCAGGAAAGGGGAAGGAGTCAAGCAGATGCAATTTTGGGCAAAGTCCAGGGAGGGCACCTACAGCCCGACCCCATGAATGCTTCTGGAGTGGAAGTTTCATCTCACTCACCTTACCCATCCTGGGTTCGGCAATTAAAGCCCGAAATTCAGGGTTGTTCTGAGCATAAGACCGGAGGTGAGCAGAGATGTGCTCCAACTGTTTTCTCCAGTATCCTAAAAAAGAAGAGAAACCCAGCCATCTGGATAATTCTGAAGCTAAGAAAGAAAAAATGCTGGGGTGGGATATACGTCCTCGTGGAGGTTATTTTCCTCTGGCAAACTTTGTGATGGTTTTTCCTCACCAAACTTTAGGTATGCACTGGAATAAGTTCCATCCCCCCACAGCTTCTTGTTACACATGATTAATCATAGAAAATTACAGAATCTCAAAAGAATATATTTCGATCACCACACATGGGCTCTTCTCTTTTTCTATGATTCCCCACATATAACTTACATAATACTTTAAATGTACATTTTGAGTTTTGTGAAATGTACACATCCCAATGAATATATAGGACATATCCATCATTCCAAAAATTTGCCTTGCGCCTCTTTCCAGCCTGCGGAGGGTTTAAAACACATTTTGAATTAGTTGCCACCATTAAAAACTTAGGAGATTTCACGTAGGGCTGACCTCTGGTTTCTCACATGCCAGTGGAAGCTGCAGCAGCAGGGGGCCTGCCTTCCTACACAGGCTCTGTGCCTGGGGTGGAGGAGCAGCTGGCCGCTGTGGACAGGGCCTGGTCTTCCAGCCAGACATAGCCCCTGTGGGCCCAGCTGCCTCCCTTTACTCCCTTGTTGAGCCTTGTGGCTACTTGAGTCTGCAAACCCACACTGGATCCCACCTCATCATTTTACCAATGAGGACACTGAGAGCAAGTGGGTGGTTTTTCCAAGGTCACCCAGTGTGGTTTAGTGGAAAAAGCACATGAATTTGAGTTCAGACAAGCCTGCATTTAAAACCTAAATCTACCATTTATTAAGATGAGCAATCTTGAGCCAGACACTTAAATCTCACTAAGCCTTACTTTCCTTACCTACAAAGTAAAACTAATGCCTCCTACCTCACGCATTATTGTGACATTAAATAAGAGAACCTAAGTGTCTTAGTTTGGGTTATTCTGTAAGCAGAGCCTGAGATAAAGACCTAGGACAGGTGGTTTCTTTGGAAGATGATCCTGGGTTGCACATGTGATGAAGTAGAAAGTGCAAAACAGGGAAGGGAGGGAAGAAGGAATGTGCTAAAAACTGGCCAATACTTCGGGATGCTGGGGTGTGATCCTGCTGGGGACCCATGAGGAACCATGTAGAACATGCCCCAGAGTTGTCCACTGAAGGACAGAGAAACTGAGGGATTTACTCTCTGGCTCTTTTCCCATGTGTGAGAGGGGCCCCAGCGATGTTAACTCTCCAGCACTTCTGAGATGCACCTGCCCATGGATAGGCAGCTGCTGTTGGGGAGAAAGCCAAAGCCAGCAAAGCCAAGAGGGATGATGGGCCACATCTGGTGAGGCACAGAACTGTCTACCACAGCTGCATAGAAATCAGGCAGGCTGATATCTGACACGGGGCAGCATGAGAGTCATGCTGGGGGTTAACTGAGATAACAACAGAGATCATACTGAGCCTAGCACAGAGTTTGGCACAAAGTAGTCATTCATCCCAGAAATATATATTGAACACCTATTATTCATCATGCACTATTCTAGGCTTGGGATATAGGAATGAACAAAGTTCTTGTCCTTGTGTAGCTAATCACATTCTAGTGGCTACAGATGATATGTAAATAAATAAATATGAATGTAGGAGTATGTAAAAAAAATGAGATTCTGACTTAGAATGTAAAATACAATTGGTATGCGATAGAAAATTTCCAACATCAAATCTCAACTCTCAAAGAAGCCCTGAGAAAGGGCTTTGTGAGGGGGTTCCTTTGGAAAGGGTCAGTGTAAGACTGTGTCCTCCACTGGGAGGTAAGGTCTGTTTCCTTCCAGCTCAGGCTGAAAGAGGGGGTTGCAAGGGACTGCCTTCTGCTATAGGAAACTGAAAACCTGTTTCTATCATCCATTGCTTCCAAACAAAACATCCCAGAACTCAGTGGCTTAAAATGTCAACCACTTTATTGTTCATGCTTCTGTGAATCAAGAATGTGGTCAATGCTCTGCAGGGATGGCTTATCTCTGCTCCACATGGTGTCAGTTGGGCCATCTCAGCTTGGGGCTGGAGGATCCAAGATTATCTTACCTACAAGGCTGAGGCCTCAGCTAAGATGGTACAAACTGCTGAGGGCTGGCTGAGATGACTGGGCCTCTCTCTTCTCATAGTTGCTGTCTGCACTCACTCAAATGTCTAGAGCCTTTGGATTTAACGTTGGCTGGACTGCCTCTGTTCTCCTCCATATGGCATCTCTCCTCATTCAGTAATCTATGCCAAACTTCTTTACATAGTGCTAGCTTCCTGGAGAATACATGAAAACTTTCAGCTCTTGTAAAATCTAGGCCCAGAGCTATCTTGGTGTCTCTTCTACCACTTTCTATTGGTCAAAGCAAGTCACAAGGCCAGTCCAGATTCCAAAGGAAGAGATACAGCCTCTTCCTTGTGAGGACAGGAAGGATGTGAGGAATGATTCTGACCATCTCTACAAACAATCTACCATAAAACTGATACCACACTCATGCCTGGAAGAACTCAACCAGACTGTGGACTAGGTTCTGACTCCCAGTAGAGAAATACAGAGGGCAAAAGAAGAGCTGGGAATGATCAACTTCTGGGGTGGTAGCCTAAGGAGTTGTGTGGACCTACTACCCAGTAAAACTATGTTAAAAAAAACAAAAACAATTATTTAAAGTCTCTAGAAATGGTTTTAAGGCCATACAGCAAATGAAGAAACATTTAATGAAGAAAATGTATTAAAACTCAGAAAAGTGAGAGTCTGTGGTGTTTGAACCATGACTCACTCCCTTCTGCACCTTCTTAGTGAGGCATGGTCAAAACTCTACTACAGATAAGTGTAGCCAAGAACACAGGGCTTCCTCCCCTCACATGTCCCAAATCAAAAGGCTGCACTATCTTCCTAGAAGGGACAGGATGTCAGTATCTGTCATCCTGCTCAACTGTCTGTTGCACAGGCTAAGTTCTGGGCAAGTATAGTCAAGAGATGGGGCTCCCTATTTCTGCCCAGCTACCATTCATAGGGTGGAGGCTCTACCTTGGGTCAGGTAGAGTACTGAGGTCCAGGTCACCTATTCCTGGCTCATTCAGCACAGGTGCTATGTTGGGAGAAGCAAGTCATGAAGATCAGAGGCTGAAGCTGCACTCACCTCTGCTGGGTGCCCAGGCCCTGGCACAAGGGTGTTCATCAGAGAGAAACACAATTGTCCCCAACACCCTGGTCCAGAGCATTGGCTCAGATTTTGCTGAGGGGAAGAGGTAGGCCATAAAACAGAGGGTTCAGAATCCTTCGCCAAAGAACTGACTTCATTTGCAACAGAATGTGGCAAAAGTTCAAGCCTGATGATGTTCTCAAAACAATGGAGGGTATGGTAAAAAGAAATTAAAAGGAGACTGGCATATTCATTACAGCTAAATAGGCTGGCCAGTTTACCACAGAGAACCAGGAAAATAAACAGCCAAGAAGAGCTCCCTGAGGTCAGAAAAATATTCAAATACTGACCTAAAACACTAACCCTAGAAAGGATCCCAAATTTAATTAGATCAGTTTGTGAAGCAATTTCTGCCCCATGGCATGGCTGAAAGTAATAAAGCTGCGGTCCCCAACCCCTGGGCCAAGGACTAGTACTGGTCCGCAGGAGGTTAGGGGCAGGCCAGTAAGGCTTCATCTGTATTATAGCCGCAGCCCATGGCTCGCATCACTACCTGAGCTCCACCTCCCTCCTGTATGCTCCCCACCCCAACTGTGGAAAAATTGTTTTCCATGAAACCAGTCCCTGGTACCAAAAAGGTTGGGGACCACTGCAATAGAGCAATCATCTAGCAATAAATGGAGCTTAATGGCTGCATGTGATCAGGAAAAGAAACCAAGAGAACCCTGCCAAAACCACCATCATCTTAGGGTGACAGGGTACATACCAAGAATATACTCCTCACTAAGGAGCAACCTTGGGGGCTTCACACTGTGAGTGTGGAATAGAGTTGACTAAAATGTGCTGTAGTCTCGGCTATTTGGGAGGCTGAGCCAGAAGGATCATTTGAGCTTAGGAATGTGAGGTTGCAATGAGCTATGATGATACCACTGCACCCTAGCCCAGGCAACAGAGTAAGACCCTATCTCAAAAAAAAAAGAAAAAAAGAAAAGAAAGAAAAAAGAATTTATAAAACAAACAGAAAACAATTAACAATATTATAGGAATAAAGCCTCATTTTTCACTATTAACATGGAATGTAAATGGGTTGAATGCTCCACACAAAAGATAACAGATTGGCAGCATGAATAAAGGAACATGATCCAACTACATGCTGCTTATAAGAAACTCATCTTACCTAGAAAGACACATAGACTGATAGCAAAGGAGTAGAAAAGATATTCCACACAAATGAAAGCCAAAAGTGAGCAGGAGTAGCTATACTTATAATAGACAAAACAGACTTTAAATTAAAAACAATTTTAAAAAAAGACAAAAAAGATCATTATATAATGATACAGGGATCAATTTAGCAAGAGGATATAATAATCCTTCAAGATTTGTACCCTAAATGTATATGCACCCAACATTGGAACTACATGATTCACGAAACAAATACTACTAGACCTAAAGAAAGAGATAGAAAGTAACAGAATAGGCCGGGCACGGTGGCTCAAGTCTGTAATCCTAGCACTCTGGGAGGCCGAGGCAGGCGGATTGCTCTAGGTCAGGAATTTGAAACCAGCCTGAGCAAGAGCAAGACCCCGTCTCTACTATAAATAGAAAGAAATTAATTGGCCAACTAATATAGATAGAAAAAATTAGCTGGGCATGGTGGCACATGCCTGTAGTCCCAGCTACTGGGGAGGCTGAGGCAGGAGGATTGCTTGAGCCTAGGACGTTGAGGTTGCTGTGAGCTAGGCTCATGCCACGGCACTCACTCTAGCCTGGGCAACAAAGTGAGACCCTGTCTCAAAAAAAAAGAAAATAGGACAATAGTGGGAGACTTCAACACCCCACTAACAGCAC